CATCTCGAGTTCAATGTGGATACAGGAGAACCGGGGGGCGAATAAAATGAAATTTGTGCACCACTTGTGGTTACCTTGTACGGGACCGACTCCCGATTAGTACCCGTGAATGGAAGAAGAAGACCAATGCTCCTCATATCAGTTTTGTCTCCGATCGTGACAAAGGCGTTAATTTGGAATGATGTCTTGGTACATTTCACGCTCCAAGCAGATGATTATGATGATATAATAGATGGTGATGAATTGAAGGAGCGAGTTAGGGATTGGGCAATGAAGAAGATGGCCACCCGATTTGCAGACTTGGAAGAAACACCTATACACGACGTATGTCAAGAAGAACATAGCACCAGATTTTCTTGTCCCGGGCCCGATCTCAAAGCAGAGGCCCTATTGGGATGAGTTTGTACAGTACAAGACTTGGAAGAGGGTGTGAGTCGGGTGATAAAGAACCAACATAATGCCCAATGCAGAAGACATACCACCATACCTTGGGATCGGTGGCTACCCGACCGCCATTAAGAAGTGGAACAAAATGGAAGCAGACCTTCTTGCCAAGGGTATCGAGACGAGAATCACTCGAGTGGGGAGAGCGTGCAAAGAATTGGTTTTTCGCTCATGGGGAACACTAGACCAGAGACAGGGAAGTGCGTTTATGGCGCAAGGCGCAAGAAGCAGCAGAAAGATTGCTTTATGCGAGAGAGAGCTCTTGCTAGTGGTGCGCTCAGGCCCACAGAGAGAAGGATGAGTGACATCACGCCATCGGGACTATTGAACATGGTGGCGAACTAGAGGCAAAGGAAGTGTCTCGTGGGAGCATGGATTCCCTCGGGGACAGACCTTCTCTGAAGTCGCCAGAGAAAGAAGGAAGAAGAGGCACACCGGCTCCGAGAGGTTGGAGGAAGCGGTGCGTGAAGCAGAGGAGGCGGGAAAAAAAACCTTGAAGCGAGAATGCAGGAGGAAATCAAAAGGCAAGTGCAAATAGCGGTGAGTGCAAGCAAGCGAGGCATCGAGCCGAGGAATCAACATTAGCCAATACATTCGGGGTTGAAAAGCAATTGCGCCACCACGGAGATACCAAATCAAGGGGACACAGGATTGCGCTTCCTCGTGGATGACGCCACTGAACCTTGTACAGCGTGTGAGCTACACATTCGAAGGAGAATTCCACAATCAAGGTGGCTATCGGTCTTGTTAATCCTATCGACCCGAACCAAGACACCAAGGATTCATGGGAATATAATCCAAGAAGGATATGCCACCATCTCGGTAGATAAAAGTGAAAAAGGTTTTAGTGATTTGCCTCTTGACATTCACGGAGGTGATGGCGAGAAGACTCTAGGAGAAGCGGAGAAGACATTCATTCTATGGCATAAGCGCTACATCATCATTCGGGGATGTCGGCTCCACCTCCTCTGAACTACCTCACCATAGGTATGTGCGGATGAAAACACTACATCATTAATTTGTATTGGCTTAAATAATTAACAATCTGCTCATAATAATATGTCATTCCTTTTTTGTAGCAGATCCTCCCCAATCTAAATCAATTGTTCAATCGCCAGATCATCATAGTGCTCTGTGACGATGACATTGTGTTGGAAGACGAGGTGCATCCACACCCTCTCCAAGGAGGTCTCCAACGCCCATGGCCGCCACCTCCAAGGAGGTCTCCAACGCCACGCCAACACCTCCAAGGAGGTCTCCAACGCCGCTGCCAACACCTCCAAGGAGGTCTCCAACGCCTCCCCGCCCCGCCTACCAAGAAGCCTAGCAAGAGGTCAGACCCCTCAAGCGAAGAACCGGTCCCTTTGCAAAAGAAAGCCACCGTGAAACCAAGGGTTATTCCCAAAATAATATCTCAAGAGAAGGAAGAAGGGGCGATGCATATAAAAAGACATGTCTAGATTCTATGACAAACTTAAAATGAATCAAGAAGCAAGGAGAAACCCAGAGAAACCGTACTTCTTCGTAGCTCCGGATATTTTAAGAAAAAAGGTGATTTCTTACCAGCATCAACAGCGGGAATCTCGTAAGCCGTCCAAATCAACGTTATCGGACTATGACCGCACTCTCACCAAGTCAATTGAGTGACACGCAGAAAAAAGAAGCGGGCGGGAAAGGAGTTGCCCAACTCGGACAACAAAGCGCACCAATCAATCCCCCGCTAGTTGTTGGTAATGAATATGGTTGAATTTAGGATTAATGCATCAGCAAACATACCTCCGGATGTCGATTTGGATCACCTTGGTGAATTTCTTGATGAGACCGGTCTCGACCTTTACCGATATGTTTGGTGATGGAAACATTGAGAGTGCTTGGCGGAGGTTGATATTTGGAAGAAAAAATTTGTACTAGGCGAGTCTATACAACCCTCAAGCCTTATCTCGATGCAGGGGACGCAAATGTACTGCTAAACAAGTGGTACATGCAAAGGCGTCTACCGATGGAGACTTCTAACGTTGGTGTCGAGAATTAGAGAGGCGAACATTGGTTCCGTGGCGATGATGTTATGTATGTTGACTTTGCGAATTTCATCAACTATGCCACACGACCTCTCTGGACAAAGTTATCATTAGCTGCTATTGCACGTAAGTAATAATTCTTTCGATCTATTATTAAACTCATCATATGTGTGTATATGCATATAAATTATCCTAACAAGTACTATATATATGCAGATTTACAATGTGAGCTCGAGAAAGGAAGGCTGCAATGAAATTGGTTTTGTTGATCCCCATATAGTATTCAAAGACCCAATTACTCCAATGACTAATTGGAAGTGCGAGTCGAGAGTAACCTCATGAACTTCTTAGTGAACCAACGCCACAAGAAGGATATACTCTTTCCCTATAACTTCAAGTGAGTGTTAATCATGTCGATCATAGCCTTAATGGCTCATATGTTGATTCTAGTTAATTAATGAGTGTTATGCGTTATATCCTATAAACACATGCAGCAATCTTTGGATATTGATGGACATCGATCGGTGAAAAGTCACTTGATAATCTATGACTCGATGAGAAAACCACAACAAGACTACCAAGATATGATAGATATTATCCAGAGGTAATTTCGAGATCTCTAGCAACTATATATACACACAAACATGATGATTAACTATATCTCGATGACGTGGCAAATTTTTATTATTAGGCGGTGTTTGGAAAACCTTTATTGAGAAGCAACACATGGAAAATGCAAAGCGCCATTGAATGTAATCCTTTGAAAGTAAGTCCCTGAATCGCATCATCTTTATTAATTCAACATATAGCTTTCACCGGATCACCAGATTGGATGACAAATCTTTTTCTCGTAGAAAGTGGTGTCTAAAAGCGAGAACAGGGAACAACTCTTTTGTGGTTACTATGTTTGCAAGTTTATCAAGGTGCTCTCCCAAAGAACTCCCTACAGAGAGACTCAAAGTACGTTAAAATACACTATATATTCATTTAATTATTATTATTGATTGTGTTACTATGTCTTTATATATATATATATGTACATATATTAATTTATTTTCCTTTAATTCAAACTGTAGACTCGATGGTTGGAGGAAAAGGTCATACGGCAAGACCAAATCAAAGCAATTCAAGAGTCTATAGCGGATTTTTAATGAGCAGTGTCATCGATTCCAAGGGCGAGTTCTACTTGACCCAACACCGCCATTGAAGCCAAGCTAGAGGATGAGAAGAAACTTGTTATGTCACAACAACTATAATGCAATCTTTTGTAATATATGCACATGAAATAATATAATGTAAAATACACATATGCATGCATGCATGTAAATATATATATATGATGCATGCATGCATATATATATATATATATATATATATATTTCTATGATTGAATTGTGTGATTTAATACGTTCATTGTGCTTGACCGAAACATACTATATGCACAGCGTATAAATGTATAATTAGCAGCGTACAATACGACTTCGAAAACCTATTTTGAAAAGAAAAAAAAAATGAAAAGAAAAGAAAAAAAAAAAACCTTTAGTCGGTTCGTATTACTAACCGGGACTAAAGGTGCCGCCATCGTCGGGCATGTCAGGAGGCACCTTTAGTCCCGGTTGGTGTTACCCACCGGGACTAAAGGTCCTCCTTTAGTCCCGGTTCCTGACCCGGGACTAAAGGACCCCCCCTTTAGTCCCGGATGCTTGCTCCCGGGTGGGGAACCGGGACTAGAGGGGGTTCCCCACCGGGAGTAAAGCTCGGTTCTGTACTAGTGTAAAGAATAGGCGCAAGTAGAAAAAAAAACTATGGGCCCATAGCTATGAACTATCAATGGAGACACATCTCTACTAGTACTGGGTTTCCTATGGTTACCGCCAGCACAAATCCTCTATTTATATCGGTGGCAGCCTTAAATCAGTTGCCCGTGTAAGTATTTACACAGATAGTTCTTAAGGGATGCTAGTAAAACGTCACCGTTTTCATTTGCCTTTCATACTAGTTGTTCACAAAAACCACAAGTGGAAATTGAAAAGGTGCCTAGTAGAGATGTTTTCTGTACTAGTATAGAAACCCATCTTATTCATTTATTTAATGTCATACTAGAATTATTTTTGTGCTTCATTGCACCCTAGTGGTTCCACGAAACTATTGATGTTTACAGAGTCGCTAGCAATAGTGTCTTACCGCATATAAAATTTGTATTCTGCTTGTTCATTGTCTATTATTTTGTTGCCTTAATTTCAATAGATTCAAGCCGTGGTTAAGAAGCAGACATCCTTTTTGTGGTAGATGAGGTATGTTGACATTATTTCTTACTGAATCCACATATATAAGAAGGTGAAAGAACAATAATACATTCAAGCCATGTTCGCTTCTCTTATAATCCATCTTTTTCAGCTTATTTTTTCAGTCAGAACAGTGTTTTTCTCTCACAACAAATCAGCCGGAACAGTGTTTTAGCTTGTTTTTTCAGCAAAACGAACGAGGCCTTACCATCATCCATTCTAGGTAATTACTGGATTCAGAAGGTTGGGAACTATGTTTGGATCTGATTTGTATAACATCAAACCAGATCTCGTATCCTTGGCCAAGGTGAGTTCTCTAGTACCAAACTACTAGTACCATTGAAACATTTTTTAATCTAATATTGACTCTTGTTAATTCACGTTGATAGGCTCTTTCTTCTGCATATGCCCCTATTGGAGCAATAATTGTTAGCCGGGAAATAGCAGACGTGATTCATTCTCATATCAATAAGCTTGGTACGTGATGCCATTATATGATCTCATCTGTGGTTTGTAGTCTTAAAAAATGTGGACATTCTGAGCTCTTGCCTTTTGGCACAAGTATATTTGCTCATGGCTTCACATACTCTGGCCATCCTGTTTCCTGTGCTGTGGCTTTAGAAGCACTAAAAATTTATCGGTACACTCATTTTTCTATTCTCAAAACATATATATAAGGCCACTTTAGGTGCATAGGTTTTATTTATTTTTTGATAAATGTTTTACAAAATTACTGGTACCAAGGAAAGAGATATTCCGGGTCATGTGGCACATGTTTCTCAAAGGTTCCATGAGGGAATCAAGGCCTTTGCAACTGGAAGTCCAATTGTTGGGAAGGTATTCATTTCTATGTTCAGATTTTTCAAACACTTCCAACTTTCTGATGGTGCTCATGTACCACACAAGCATGGATTATTTTTTCCAACCAAGTAAACAACATGGCTTATCTGGTTGTGCTCCTGTATATGCAGACACGTGGTGTAGGATTGCTGATAGCAACTGAGTTCACTGACAACAAATCACCATATGAGTTATTCCCTTTTGAGTGGGGTAAGTAATAGTAGTGACCACAGACCACATGCTCTTATTTAGTAAATTATTAGCTTGTCCCCATTAATATTGCTTGGAGTTCTATTAGCATGACCACAACTAAGAATGACTGTGCATAATTAGGTTCAGAAATATGTTGTGTGTATTACCATAGACCTTTGGCTCATACATGTGAACTATTTAAACTAAAGTTTTATCTTATTATATTGACATATGCCAAGTTATTAAAACGTAATAGCATGTTCTTAGACAGAGAGCAAGCCATTGATTGTGGAGGGCAAATTTTGAACTAGGGTAAATACTCGACTTGCATTTTCTATATATGGAGAGGGACTAATGTTGCCTCATCCTAAATCTAGTGTCCTATGTTAGCTGGACCATCCGTACCAAGCACTGTTCAAATGAAGTTTGAATGATTTTTAGTTAAATTGGCCATTGCAAAGATCGGTTATTATTGCACTTTTGTTTAGTTATATTTGACAAGTACAGTTTGGTTTTTTTTTAACATGTAGGGGTTTTTTCATTAAAGGCTTCTCCAAATTTGTGAAATATATATGTTTTCACTTTGTTCTTCCATTTACATTTATCTTGTGGTGTGCCCGCACATGCTCATATCATGTCTATGGATGGTCAAGTGCCGAAAGGGATGTGGCTTATACCTTATTTATGTCCCATATATGTTATGCATAATAAAATAGCTAGATTCAACCCCTAGGGCCGGGTGAGCAAAAGCTTCTTGTTCATCTAAACACACATGAACAGAAGTTGTGACTAAAGGGGCCCTCTCTCGTGTATGTACCAATGGAACTCTCACTAGTGGAGTCAGTTAACATACATTCATACAAAGTAAGTTCTAATGATTTTGATGGCATTTCCAGGCGTTGGTGAAATATTTGAAGCAGAGTGTAAGAAACGTGGCATGATCGTTAAGGTTCTTGGAGACTTGATAGTAATGTCCCCACCACTGATAATTTCCCATGAAGAAATTGATAAGGTAAGAACAAAATTCACAGCATATAATTAACCCTTGATACCTATACCTCTCTTTTATGGTCAAAATGGAGAAAAAAAATCCGTTTGATATGTCATGGCTCATTGTTGAATATATGTACCTCATGCATGTACTCAAACTGCTTTTCAGTTAGTGGTGATATATGGAGAAGCACTAAAGGCCACAGAGGAAAAAGTGGCAGAGTTAAAATCCAAGAAAAATTAGTTAGCATATGTAATGTATGATGATGATGATGGCGGCAAGGTTGAAGGCGTGACATTAGTTCCTCCATGGAATAAATTCCTTGCTATTCATTCTTGTAATAACTAGTTAAATGCCCATGCGTTGCAATGGGTACACATAATATCACAATAACATATGTATGAGCGCGTGTTATACTGTATCTAAAATAAATACTGCAATCGTGATGTTTTACAAGTTGCAATACATGAACATTCACATTAATCATAACAAGTTTGTGTTTTACAATACATGTTTTACAATATATTCTACAATTAAGAATCTAATCTCTCAATGTTTCGACCAAAAGAACGTGCTTTGCACGAACACCAAGCTGCAGCTAGTCACCAATCAAAGATAATCCAGAAGATTTTCAAGTCCAAGATGCAGCATCTAACTTCTTGCAGTTGAAGCATGTAGATAGTTAAAGCTGTAGTTAGAAGTATCCTACACATAAGTTGTTTGTTAATTTTTAAAGTTAAAGTGCTATTGATATATCTTGAAAAAATATGTATCGACGTGTAATGCATTATCTCTTTCATAGAGTTAGAACCTCTTTATATACAATATTCTTTGTGAATATATCCTTTGTCGGTCTCTTCTTCCCCTTCCCTTTTCCTTTTCCCTTGTTCACGTCCTTCTCAGCAGTCGGCATAGCCAAGATCCTAATGTTCGATCTTGCTGTAGCTCTTGATAACACCTCATACAATTGGCCATGCGAGAACACTGGTTCCGGCAAGTATACCCCGACGTTAGGGATAGTCTGCCCCTGTGCCTTGTTAACAGTCATTGCGAAGCTGAGCCGAATAGGGAACTGCTTTCGCTTAAATTGGAAAGGGAACATCTCATCGTCCGACGGGCATAAGGGTATTCGAGGCAGAAAAACTCGCTTTCTAGAGTGCTGTCCCAACACAATTTCAGCGTCTATGGTATTCTTTTGGAACCCTCGTAAGATAAGCCTGGTACCATTACAAAGTTTGTTCGCAGGGTCAATGTTCCTAAGCAATATGACTGGACAACCAATCTTTAGCTTCAACATATGTGGAGGTAGACCATTGGGTGTCAAAGTGTTAAGAAATTCCTCAGGGTAGTAGTTGTGCGGATCGTCCACCGCACAGTCAAAGCTATGGTACACCATCTCATCCCCGTGAAAACGACCTATCATCTTCATATTAATCATATTAACCCATTCGTTCTGCGTAGATAATATCGCTCGAGAGGTGATATAATCTTTGCTTGGCACATTTGCATTGAGGTTAGGAAATATGCAATCAATTAGAGTATCAAGATCACTATCTTCCCCAGTGTGCGGAACACATATATCATGAGGAAGACGGATTTCATCATCAACAGTCGCCTCCTCAGAACCTCCACCAACGCGCAACAAGTATTCTGCAAACCACGGGTCGCTCTTTGCCCTCATGTTGCGCACCAGTTTTAGATGCCGCATGGAATCCCAAAGGTACGACATCCGCAGCGAGGCACCAACTACCTGAGCCCTTGACCCTCTTCGAACAATGGAAAGAACCTGTCCAAAATCTCCACCGAACACCACGGTCTTCCCTCCAAACGACAACTCTGGTCGGTCCATTATATCACGAAGGTTGTTGTCTAGTGCCTCAACACCTTGCCTCTTTATCATTGTCACCTCGTCCCAAATAATAAGGGATGCGGCCTGAAGCAGCTTGGCAGTACCACTCTGTTTCGTGAAGGTGCAAAAGGCCCCATTATCGATGGTGAGGGGAATCTTGAAGCGTGAGTGGGCGGTTCTGCCACCAGGCATTATTGAGGCTGCAACACCAGATGTAGTTGTTGCCACTTCAATCTTTTTTTGATTGCGTATAGTAGCGAGAAGTGCTCTGTACAGATAAGTCTTTTCGGTCCTGCCAGGACCATCCACAAAGAAGAGACCCTCGTCCTCGGCATTAATCAAGGACATGATCTCATCGTATGTAGCCCGCTGCTCCTTGTTAAGGGTGTCTGACAGAGCCACGTCATCCTCGTTAACCTCAATGCTAGCCTCCTCAAAAATCTCTCTAGGAATATCACGAGAGGCATCATATGTGTCGTCGATATCAGGAAGTGGGTACATCTTTATATCCTTCTGCATTGATTGTAGCAATTTTTGAATATCCATGAGGACCATCTGCTCCACCATAAAGGTGGATTGATTATTGCGCCTGTAGTCCTCTGACATTGCCTCCTTGTGTTTCTCCCATAGTCCAAACACATCACTGGGCTCACAAAATACCAATATTGTTGCAAAGAGCCTTCGCAGCGCATATGGCATCATCCACCTGGTTGCCTCAGCGAAACTCTCGTTCATCGTGTTGTCCTCTTCGATTAAGCCCCTTCTTTCTGCAGCTTCATGGAAGGTCGGTAGGATTTTGCCATCCACGGTCCTTAGACACTCAAACAAGGTTGCACCTGCCACATGGTTCAGGAGAACCCTAAGATAGTAACGCTCCCCCTCGGCTGGATTAGCAGACACGATTCTTCCAATCTGTTGTAATGTATCACGACGCACCCTATTTTGCCAAACTTTGCCCTATGCTTGCCACGTATAGAACTCAGGAAAGTCCTAATACAATATACCTTGAGCTGTTTCATCTATCCTATTCTTCTCGAAGTGCGCTGTAAGCATTGACTTGTCAGTACCAGGACGATCAAGCACTCGTTGAATCCCCTGGCGCCGATGAAATGACACCATGTTCATGTCTGGAAGATGTAGCTGTAAGGACAAAACAGAAGGGTACCTATCACTCAAATAAAACCCGTATATCCTCCATAAGGCTTCTGGGGGGGTTACCCATCTAGCATCTCTGTACTGCTTGATCTCATCAATGTTCCCTTCACTATCCTCCTTGTCAGCCTCTCTCATAGCCACAGACGCCCGATCATGACCCGTGTAAATATACTTAAACAGATACTTGACTGCCTTGATGCTCCCACATGCCTCAACATTGATGTGATAGTTGAATAGACGGAGGAGATATGGGTTGTAAGGCACGACCCATCTGTTGTCAAGCTCGTGTCCGCGAACTTTTTCTTTTCGGCCATCTTCACGCCATCTGTAAACTGGATATGAATCCTTGCCTTGTACTATGACATCACAGAAAGGTCTAGGGTAATGGTTCTTGCAGGAATCACGACCCTTTATGCATGGACAATCGCAATTAAGCAGTCCGCAAGGGCCATGCATCATATGTTTGGTAACCATCTTGTACAAGACTGGGTACTTCTTCTTGTTCGGGAGCTCAACTGAGATGAGGCGATCATACTGCTCTGGACACGTGATCTTGTACTTCCTATCCATGATTAGCAAAAAATGTGCATGCAGCAGACCCCTCTTCTGGAACTCCACAACATAAACATGTACTCGCACCTTTCCAAGGATATCCTTTTTTGGTAGTCTATCCTTCAGCTCTTGTAGTTTTGCTCTAAAGACCCGAACAACGAGATCTGGACGATCCTATGGTGTCTGGCCAGGGTAGAGTTCACGCTTGATCTCATCCCAGTTTGGGTTACATGTCATAGTCAGGAAGATGTCTGATTTACCAAACCTCCATACCAGAGCCATGGCGTCCATGTATCGACGCCTCATGTCACGAAGGCCTCCAATAAATGATGAAGACATCACTGTCCGTTTTCCAACAGCTTCTGCTCTACCTTCACCAGCATGCAGGCTATCAACCAATCCTTGGTAGAGGTCGGCCCAAATATCATCTTGATGGTTGCGTATATAATCTAATCGAGAACTCTCGATCTTGATGTACGTGTCGACTGCAAACTGCTGGAATAGACGCTTACCGTACAGTATGGGGTTAAATATTCCTGGACGCATCTGAAACTTGTAGCAGTAGTAGTCACGCACAGACACGCATAGTCTACCAGGGGAGTCTACAAAAAATAGCCATGAATTACATTTGTTTGTAGAATAACCATTGAGTTACATGTATGCGAAGTATTTAAATAAGAAGAATAACAAACCTATTTCTTCTTCTGACCCACTATGAGCCTTCTGTAGGGCACGATACCCGATGACTTCTTCCATACTAACTCCTTTCTTCGGAATATCCATGTGCCACCCAAGCTCAACCTTAGGGAAGAATAGAGGGTATGAAAGAGCATCGTAACATCCATGATATGAGCGGATGCCGTGTCTGCTTCTATCTTTCCCATGCAGGACAACACTATTCTAGAACTGACCAAGGAGTTCGCTTCCCTCGATCCAAACAGCAGCCACCTCTGAAGCTGACGGCACATTGTATGTTCTCTGGTCTAGCCTCTGGTCAAGGTTTAGTGTGACATGATAGTCCTCGAGGTGGTCAGCCTGGCCCAAACTCCTAAGTTGTTGTGAGTATGGGTTGTCACAAAGGATGGCCACAAGCCTCTCAATGACTTCCATGTCTTTTTGGCACTTCTCTTCACGACATCGTCGATAGCGGTGCTCAAGGCTTGGGTCATCATCGTAGAAGTAAAGCTCAAGATGTCTTGGCTCCTTACCATCTTCTTTGCCAAATGACCTTATGTTATGATAGATCTAGCCGTGTGCGCGGAAGGTGTATATGCCACAGTTTTTCATGTTTGTAGTAGCGCTATCGAGACGACAATATAGAGAAGTGAAAGAGAAATGGCCACTGAAAAACCTAATATTGTTACGAAAGTGCCTAGCATCTACGTCGTTACTTGACCAAAGCCTCATAAGCTCATCAGGTATGTTTGGTTCATTGAGCTCGATCTTTCCGTTGCGACAACAGAACCCAGGTGGTTCATGTTCAAACCTTTTCGCATCGCAGTGCTCGCAATTTGTGACATGTTTTAGCATATGGCTATCTGTAGGCATGTTACTATACACCTTTTCGTATTGGTCAGGTACTTCAGGGACAGAAGCTGTGTCTTCCTCAAGGTCATTGTCTTGGACATCGTCATCATCTGAAATGACATTTAAGCCACAATAGTTTAGATAAAGCAGTTGAAGAATT